ATAGAAAGAAAGAAAGAAAGAAACATAGAAAGAAAGAAAGAAAGAAACATAGAAAGAAAGAAACATAGAAAGAAAGAAACATAGAAAGAAAGAAACATAGAAAAGTATAATAGTAGCAGTAGCAGTAGCAGCAGCAGCTGCATTTTGACGAATATGATACAGCATTATGTAAATGACAAAAGTTAAAATTTTTGAGATCTATGTTTCCCTGCTTATCATGCAGTCTCAAAATGATTAAAAGAACTATTTACGAATACTCTACAGCCACAAGCTGCAATCAAGACTGTTTCCCCTCAAGAATAGAGGGTGTATTGAAAATAATACTGATCATACATAATAATAGCCCTATAACATTTTATATTTATTAACTATTTTATAACAATTACTTTTCAAAACGGTTTTGAATAGTGAATCAAAACTTAATTTGTATTTCACTCAGTAGACGGAAAAAACATCAAAGCAACAGCAATTCCGTATCTTCACAATATATTTAGTTACACAAGCACGTAAAACTTGCAAATCTAACTTTCTGACCTGTGATATGTAGGTTTGAGATTTTGTTGAAGTATAAAAAATTATGAGGCGCCATAGTGTCCATACATACAAAAGGCAGTTATAAAATAATGCTTATTACAATTAATAACTACAATCAAAACCGCAAAGAATAAAGACTTATGAAAACAATACAAATAAGAATATTTGTGACTGCACATAAAGTACACAGAAATAATCGGTCCCACTCACAAACATTCTTGTAAAATCATCTCCACGGCAAGAGTCTAAAAGTAATTAAATATTATGGCTAAACTAAGGCTCTTCTTCATTAATTCACAAACTATTTAATATTAACTTAGAAGCAGGTAGGTGGATTGCTCTAAAATTGCAATATTTGTCAGTTTGAATGCAGTAATTTCAACAATGCATATCATTCACAGGTAAACTTTCACAAGCTTCAATATTCAAATTGCAGTATGCACATTTTAAAAAGGGTTGTGTTTTCTGTATTTTCAAATGCAAATTCTGGGAATGAAAATTCTATTTTATTTCCTTAGAAACCCAAAAGAAGCCTGTAAGGTTCTGTTAAAGTTAAATATGTAAGGTTTTGTGTGAGAAAAAATGTACACCGCATTCAGGTACTTAACAAGCCGCATTCAACATCAACGATTTCTACATGTGGTTCCAATGACTGTATGCAAATGTCACGAGCATTCATAGAATTTACCACCATCCGATGAGTAAAGTAAGCCGTTCCCTCCAAATCACGACCATTTATCATCGAGAATTGAACATCAATGAAGACCATTGGAATAACAATCTCAGTTATGAAAAATGAAAACATAATTGCATTCATCCATGACTTTGAGTTGTGATTTTCTGAGCAACTATAGAGAGAAAGAAAAAAGAGAGAAAGAGAAAAGAAAAAGAAAAAGAGAGTTGCTGATGTTCTCATTGTAGATTACATTAGCAATACATATATACATATATACATATCTCCGCATATACACATATACATATATACACATATACATATATACACGTTCAGTATATAGTATATATCAGGTTTCTTTCATATTTCCACAAATAATTACTCATGTTTCATATTATGATCTGCCAAGACTTCACAATTTTAAAAATGAACTTCTAAATTCTAGTAATATCAACTACGGATAATCACTTAATAAATCTACCATTGCTTTATCCTCTGTTGTATGCAACATGGCTCCAGAAAGCCATTTCAATAAGAGATGCTTTTTCCAAACTGAAAATATAATCTACGCAAAATCTCATCCACAACAACCATTATTTTCCGGAGATAAAGCACACAATCAAAAATGTTAAAAAGAATTTATTTCCAAGGTTTCACAGGAAATACAAACAGGATAATATGGCGTTAAATGTATCATGGTAAGCCCAATTAAGAAGCAGTGCAAAAACAACGGTTTTACAAACGGATCCTGTCAAACAAGTTCTGACAATCCAAGAACTAAGATAAAATCCTTTCTATAATCATGATTTGTTGTACTGTATCACACCATTCTGTAAAATATAGGTATGAAGCAAAAATTCAATTTAACAGGTTTATTATTTCCTCATTGTAAGAATAACTTTATCTCGGAAAAAGAAGTGGAACTAACACTAATGCTTTTGCAGTTTTCAGAATTAAAACACCAGAGCACAACAACAAATATTCTGCAGTAATTAATTCATTATGTTGGAAACACACACTAGGCAGAGTAAACATTCCAGAGCACGTTTCAAAATAGAAACAAATGACAAGGTGAGCCTATATTTAAAAATCACCAATCCCTCCAATATACATAGTATAAAATGGAAATCCATTTCAACCTCCTACAGTTGAACTTTGCCAGAATATGCAATACGCATATTAAGAACATGCAATCAAAGGACACTTGTATTTTAACATCTGAAAGTGAAAACTGACTATTTCACTCAAAAAAAAAAAAAAAAAAAAAAAAAAAAAAAATCTTTCCTGGCTAAAAACCTGCAAAACAATACAAGGTAGCAAAGACGGCATATAATTTAAAGACAGGTAAATTATTATATTATACTTCATAAAACAAGTAAACTGGATGCAATACTAAATCCAAAGCTAAAAATGTTTCACGTGTCATGAAGATGCATCAAGAAATTCTACAAGAAACAATGATAGAAAGAATAGAATAAAATAGAAAAAATATGAAATTTTAAACAACATAAGAAAATTAAGAACATAAAAATTTGTTACTCTTTCAATAAATGCTTTTGTGTATTTTTTTGAATTTACCTTTCAAAAAATATTCCAAATATGACAATTTTTTAGCTGAAAAATACTTCGAATGATTTTAAAATAATAAACAAACACCAAAGAAACAAAGTTAGAAATTAACAGCAAAACTGAAGGACAAAAAGCTCCATTCTTATCGAGATATAAAAACAATAAATAAGAGGAAAAGGCAGATATTACTGCAAAACTTAAAATGAAAAGCAATTGCCAATTATGCAATCAAAATCAAGTAGAAGACTTGCAACAACCGTATTCTACATAGTAATGACTGTCTGCACTAAGCTACAAAGAAGAAAATAAAATGTAAAATAACTCCAATATTAAAAATTAAATGGAATCTTTTTCACAGAAGTATACTGGTAAAAAATAACTAATTAGTATGTTTCTTTAAGCATACTTTTATGAATGCTAAAGAATATAAATGAAAGTGTTGAAAATGTAAGTATTTAATTATTAAAGCAAAAAGGAAACAACCAAGGTGAAAATAAGGGGTCAATACATGAAATACCTCCACCAGTACGACAAACAAGCTAATCGAGAAGAGATTCTATTTATAATTTTTGCATTAAGGATTGCAACAGAGTCGACTGCTATCAGTTAACTACTTTCATACTGTGAGGAAAAAAAATATACCTTGAGGTGCAGAAGTGGCAATATTTGCTCTGCTGTTGCTGGTAATTTTAGGATGGTTGTTTCCACCCGTCAATGCAGAAGAACCTGGAGGTTTTGGCAAGATCTGCGGTGGTTGTTTTGGTTTGGTGGGCACAGCCCCAGCACCAGCTGCAGCTGCATGAATATGAACAGGAGTGCCTGGTCCTGCTGGAGAATCAGCTTATATATTAATATGTTTTAACAATAAGGAAGGTAACTGCAACAGCTACTCTGTGACTCTTCAATATGATTCTTTCAGTTCTTGTAGTCCATAAGAAAAGTAGACAGATGTGTTTTGCATAAAGATATTATTTATTAAAGTCTCATCAAATCATAAACCTTTTGTACAATCAATAACAGTGTATTAATAACACCGATTTACAAATCTTTAAGACATTAAATATTTGTATGACAGTGCAGATAAAAAAAAATAATACAATGAATAGACAGCTACATGTCAAAATCAGAATATTTTCAAATTGTATCCAAATATTTAAAACAGTTCTCTCTGATGAACTGTAATTCACACTTACATAAGATTGCTGCATTATTCCAATATGCAAGAACAGACACCATTGGCTACTAATTTAATTATCATTAATTCAATGCACATTGAAGAAATTTCTCAACAGCATTGACTTATGAATACTAATTGGATCCATCATTGACCTTTCAATTCTGAAGATCAGTCTCTTCATAAAACATACTTCAACAGTAAATCAACAGACTCATTTATCTGGTATTCAATGGCAACTGAATTATCTTTCATGTCAATCTTCATTGCAGTGACTAAGGACTGAAAAATGTCAGCATTTCATGCCATGAATTTGCCAAAAATTATACATGTTCTCTGTCTATAAATAATCACAAAAATAATAGAAATAGGAAGAGCCAAGAAATGCAAAAGAGTGGAGGAAGAGATGTGAAGTTCGAGCAGAAGAAGTGGCGGCGGCGGCGGCGGAGGAGGAGTTGGA